GGCAACTCCTACATTTTGTTGTTCATAGACCGTTTCAGTCGGAGAGCCGACATGTTCACAGTTACAGCGGCGGAATTTACGGTGAGAGGGACGGCTCACATCTTCGTCAACCAATACATGACCAAGTGGGGATGTCCGACTACGATATTGTCGGACAACGGACTGCATTTCTGCTCGAAGCTCTCCATGGCGATCTACGAGGTGATGAAGATCAAGAAGGTCACCACCAGCTCCTACCACCCACAGACCAACGGCGGCACGGAACGCGTCAACCACACGATGGCCCAGATGCTTGCGGTGGTCGTCAACGAACAGCAAAACGATTGGGACATACATCTCCCGCACGTTGAGTTTGCCTACAACAATTCCGTGAACCAGTCTACTGGATTAGCGCCAAACGAGATCCACATCGGACGCATCCCGCGACTCCCGCTTTCGGTCTTCGATCGTCCCACGGTAGGTGGTCATCAAAGCTTGGCCCGCGATCAACTCGAGTATTGCAACCTGGCTGTCGATCGCCAGCGCCGGGCCTACGAACTTGTCCGCGAGTACAACGCGCTGAAGATTTCGCGAGTCGAACGCCGAAATTCATCCCTGCTGGACGCCATCCACAAGCTCCCTCAGTTTACCGTTGGCGGGTGGGCTTGGGTGTACAACACGGCAGCTACAATTCGACAGGGTTTGCAGAAGGACACGGACCAACAGGTGCTCAAAACCAAATTCGCACTTTCCTGGACGGGGCCTTACAAAGTTCTTGCGGTGGGTCCCACCTCTGCCGACGCCACTCGGGACGGTCGCCCGTTGGCGCATAAACTCCTCTACCTGGACCTGCCTTCCGATCTTTCCGGCCCGGCAGCTCGTTGTCGCGTGTCTGTCCGTCGTTGCAAGCCCTGTCGCAATCCGTACGAGACGGACGACTTGCCGCAATCTCTGCCCGCCGAGCTTTCGCGTTATGTTCTGCACTCTTTTCAACGTCAACGCGGATGATGTGTCGGTGCCTGTCGGGCGCCTCGAGGTCGACTACATCTCGGGACATCAACTGGTGCGGGGCCGTAGCGGCGTTCTCGCTGTCCTGTACCAGACGCATTGGGTAGGCCTGACTCTTCCTTCATGGGAACGGGAATCCGACCTTGATCTATTCCGTCGACACATCCTCTTGTACTGGTCCCGGGAGGCCTGCCAAAGCAAGCAGGGTAACCGTACATATCGAGTGGCTCGGACTCGCGCGGCACAGCGGGAGCTAGCCCGGAATCGTGGAGGACGCTATTTGCCTCCTGGGGCTGATCTTGTGCTTAATGCGACTTGGCTTCGCCGTTTCAGCACTTCGCCCCTCCCTGTTGGCGCGCGGCTGTGGTACAAGGCCCGTGATGGATTGTGGTGGACCGGACGCATTGGTGCTCATCAGGGCGGCTCGTACATCGTTCGATTTTTGGATGACCCGGGCCCAAGCGTTCTGCCTCTGCCTGCGCATCTCTACTCCACCGCTTTGGACGCCGTCTGTGGATCATGGTGTTTAGAGAAACATCGTTCGCGCCCTCTGGGCGACAACCGTGGTCGCACTCCGCTCCTTGCTGACTCCTTACCGTCGGCTGTTCCCGCCGTTTCTTCTTAGCGTCTTCGTTTTCATATACCAATTGGCCTATTTTGGTCTTTTGTGCCATCCTTCTCGCCGACGTTTTGCTTTGTTTTTTTTTCCTCTGTCACCTTCCGTTTTGTTTATTTTGTTTTGTTTGTTTTTCTGTCTTGTCTCTTTTCTCTCGTTGGCTTATTTTGTTTTGGACGCTGGGGCAACGCCGCCTCAAGACACGCAGTGTCGAGTGATCCTTCTTCCTTGTTGCCTGCATTCATCTGAATCAGTGAACTGCCGCGACCTGGATGTCCGTTCTCTCTCGCCTTTGCTTCAATTGTTTGTTGTTGTTGTCGGTTTTTGGTTCTCTCAACAAGCTCCCTCCGAAGTTTCGTCGGTGTTGTCTGCCTCTGAACACTTGGAAAACGAGCTCCCCATGTTTCGTCGGTGATGTTTGCCTCGAGACACTTGGACACCGGGTTCCCCGCGTTTCCTGGTTCGCCTGTTTGCCAACTAATTTTGTCTTAAATACTTTTTGTTTTATTTCCATCGTACCGCAGAAGTGTCGCATACGCTTGGTGCTTCGGGATTCCATCCCGTGGCGTCGCCTTCTCCCATGGATTTTCGTCGTCACCCACACTTCGTTCTGCTTCGTCTCCATCATCGCCACCTTCGGGCGACGCCTTCATCACAGTCGCGCCCCTGAGTCGTCGTCTTGTTGTGTGAATCTCTACGACTTTCTGTGTTTTATGTCTTTGAATAATGCGTATCGCCAGCGAGCCATGGCGCAGTTCGTCCACCGTCTCTCTTGCAAAACCGCTTGTGCTTTGCATCCTTGGTCCTCAATAGGTCTTGCCCCTGCGGTCTCCTTACACGAGTTGGGTACCCTGGCACGCTGGCCATCGTTCTCCGTGCCTTTGCCTGTCGTCCTTTTCTCCTGCCCTTCGTTAACGTCCTAGATTGCGTTGAGTTTTCCCTTTGCGTCGCGTNTCATTCCTCCAGCGGTGATACGCGCGGGTGCGCAGAAAAGAGTGGTGTGTGGCGTCTGGATATTGATTTTTTTTTCCCTGTCGTCGTCTGTTCAGGATGATAGCGTACTCTGCCGCAATATATATTCTTCGCAGCTTTCTCCCTTCAAGCGTTGTCATTGAGATGTCGATGTTCTGTCTCGTGACCGTTCGCATTTTTCATCTCAATGATGGTGTGGGGGATTGATTCGGGATGTTTCTACAACTCACCCTCCTTTTGGATGTTTTGTGAAGAGTCATATCTTCGATTCATGATCATAAATCATCAGCTAAAATCTTATTGTAGCTTTAGACTAGGATTTGAGCATTGATTTGAGTATAGAATCTGCATATATGATATTCAGGGTGGGCTATTGTTAAGGATTGTGGCTGCTAGCATGAATAGGGTACACCTTATTCTTGATAGGATGCGGGTCGGTCAGTAGGTGTATACCCTTCTGACCCCTACCCCCTTAGAATTGTCTACTCTGTGTACCCCCTGAGATGAAGTTGGATCCCCACTTCATCCCAGACCTTTGCTGATCGTCTCTCAGAAATAACAAGCAACTTTCCCACCTCAACGTGGTCGTGGACAAGCGTGTCAACGACAGAACCTTCATCTATCTCTAGGAGCAAGCCACCGCCCACGGCATCACTCCTTGAAATCAACCTAGAATTGCCAGGGGAACCCCACACAAACAGGGATACGATATCGTATTCAAAATGCAACTGCATTTGGGAACCTCCGCATGACGTAACCTCAACCTCGAATTGCCAGGGGAACCCCACAAATGGGGATACGATTTCGAATTGCACGGCCACTGCGTTAGGGAACCTCTGCATTAGGGAACCTCAACCTCAAATTGCCAGGGGAACCCCACAAAAGTAGGGAAACGATCTCGTACTCAAATGCCACCGCATTACTGAACCTCACCCCAGAGTTGGCAGCGGGTTGGGGTTTAGGATTAGCGTACAACAATCCCGTAGGTGGACAACTTACCATCCTTGCCCCTCACCTTCCTTGTGCTCTCACCCTTCGAAAACTTGCAGAGAGGGCGACACGTGACCAGTGCGAGAGTAAACATTGAGCGCTAGACTACACACAGCGCTATCTACAACAGTATCAGGAATGCACAATATTACTATTAATATATAATATTTCTGTTCGTCCGCCCCCCGCTCTCGGGCGCTCAGCGTGCAGCGAGCGTGGCATCCTCGCGGCATCACGAGTCTAAACCCTAGACGTTTTCTCCGGGCGCGCCGCGCCGCGCCCACAGATCGACTCGCGCCGCGAACGCTGGCGGGAAGACGTCCCACCAGCTCCCAAGAAGGGTCGCCGCCGGTCCGGCCGGAAAACTCGACCCACGCCCCGAGTGACCGCGTCGCGAAAACGCCACACCTCTGCAACCATTGAACTTCCAGCGCGGAGGAAAAAAACGAAGTTTTGCATTTTTCGGCTCCTTGCTACGGAAGCGCATACGACCGCAGCGGTGGGTGACGCTGCGAGCGCGGAGAGGCGTGTCTGGAAGAGGCGCACAGAGCAGGTCTCACGGCGTGCGATCAGAGACGCTTATCGTCTACTCACGTGTGTGCGACGTGGCTTGCGCGCGTGCCCCACACGGCCAGCAGAGAACGTACAGTCATCACGTACACACGTGGCGACAAGTATTTTTCTGTGGGATTGTCGCAATCATGGAACCTGCAGCGGAGTATGCATATCTTTCTGGGGGATTGTCGCAACCATGAAACCTGCAGCGGAGGAAAAAAAGACGAAACTTTACTTTTTCGGCTCTTTGCTGCTGAAGCGCGTACCCCGCAAGAAGGCAAGCCCAGACGCGCACCCGCGCGCGCGTACGGAGCAATATGTGATGCTGCGAGCGGAGAGGCGCGTGAACAAAAAGCACAGAGTAATTCTCACGTATGTGCGACGAGGTTTGGGCGCGTGGCTCACAGCCAGAAGAGAAGGCTTGAAAATGCCGAACTTTTATGTCCCGATGAGGAAACAACGTCGACTTTGTGACCCGTGAAAACGTTCCGCAAAAAAAATCGGTACATGCTTTACCTCTTTCCAGAAATGCATTTTCAACTCAAACGGTTGCCGCCGGAGTGCGCTACATCTCTACGTGAGACTTTTCTGAATTTCGGCTTTTGTTTTTCGTTGCCCTCTATCATCATTTCTGCCTTCCACGTTACCGCATCGCCATAATGCCAAAAAGTCATCTTCTTGTTGCCCTCCTTGGTATCCTCAAAAATCCCACCAATCTCCTTTTCTATTTTTCAAAACTCAAAGTTCGTGGAGGCGGCGGGGGGCGGTAGCCCCCGCCGCCGTTAACCCCTTGCATATTGAATAGACTTGGTGCACGTTGTGGAGCAGCGTCTGTCTATGGCAAACAGGTCAGAGTAAGACGTACGTGCGGTGATACGCGTTACTCCGAAATTCTAGCGCTGACGTCAAAGCCGCCCTGCGAGCCGAACATCAACAGCATATCCCAAAATGGTCCCACGAGCTTGTTTTCAATCTCACCCGTGTTTTTCCTATATCAGCCTCCTCAGAAAAGACAGCTTTTTACAGCAAAAGTACAAAAAGACGGCTTCCAATACAACCCTCCTCGTGTCCGTTGTACTGACCCGAGAATGGCCAAGATAGCCAAGGCAACCGTCTCAACAAACCCACGTTCAGGCTGCATAACCACCAGAAAGCAGCAATACCAGCACCTGCACCAGCACCAGCGGCAGTGTCACTACCGAGGCTGTGGTCGAGACATCACACCACGTGAAACAACCACCAAGACATCACTACGTACGTACGTAGTCTAGGCGGCAGCACCTGCAGAGTGAAACAAAAACAGCAGAACCAGCAGCAGCAGCAGCAGCGCGTGGAAACGAGGCGCTGTTGTAGGATCGACCATAGCATCCACTTAAGCATCTGCCCGATGTCCGCCTGTTGGAAGTCGAAGGGAAGGCCGTCGCTCAGGTAGGACGCGAACGACAGAGCCGCCCCCCTGCCGATCGGCCGATCCGACGTGAAACAAAAAGTTTTGAGGATACAAGCACCATGGTGATACCGTTTTTTTTCACCTCTGTTTTTTTTTTTGGATGAAACCATTATGGTGGTCGAGTGGATCATGTTGTGCGGGGTGGAGAACCCTCACTCCGCGCAAGGGGGATGATCGCACTACGTTGTGTTAAAATGGTCAAGCACCCTCGAGGCAGTTTGACTGTGCTTTCAACTGTCTCTGGAAGTCAAGTACCAGAAAATAAACTAAGTCATACACAGCTGTCATCCGTACGCAAGGAGGTAAGCACAAGATGCCGAACGCCCTCAGCAGGATGCAGCGCACCGTTCATGCGACTCGCCGAATATCTCACAGCGCTTCGCGCTTGGTGATGTGAGAGCCTGGTCCGGTGAGAACCCGGCGTGCTCCGTCCCGGCTTTGTAGGGATGCGAGGTCAATGGTCTAACGACTACGGCATGCACGACTATGAGTACACCCCCCCCGCCCCCCCAATTCTGTACCCTTTGTCTTGTCCTGTGAGGGCATGAGCTGGGACAAAAGAAGGCACAGCGTATTTCTCCCTGCTTTCATCAGTCATGCATGCTCTTCGATTGTCCTGTTTATGGGGCTCAGCGGTTCGAAAGACCACAAGTATGTCTCCGATTTGTCGATGACGGAACCCGGCGATGCTGACAATATCAACAGCGTCGCACTCACCCCGATGAAGAAGGCGAGGAAACAACCCGCCACCCGAGTCAACGTAAAAACCTTACGTTCAAGATGTTACCTCGACCAAAATCGCCACAAAACGGGTGGGCGTTGGGGTACCTACACGGGTACAGGGGGCGGGGGGGCAAGTAATCGTTTTATGGAACAACAATCACCTTGAGGTCCTTCCTGGTGAGGGAGACCTTGAAGGCTTTGACCTGCACCTCATCTAACGCCCCCCTCCTGTATAACGCCGTGTTCACCCTTTCATGTTCAAACAACGCGTCACATGATGCCGAGGAATATAGCTATAAATAGCAGGCTACGTATGGTTTCCTCCTTTGATCATTCAGCGCGGACATAACGAAGGTATTATTAGGTACGTGAGCGGGAGGGTGGAACAGAGCTTGTACAGGGGTTTGGCCTTCTTCTTCGCACCAAGTGCAGTCGCGTATGGTCGGTGCCAGGCATCGAATTTGCGAGAAGCCTGTGGAGATACATCCACTTTCATTCCATTGAGGATCGTCTGTACGTCGTGTCTAACACCGGGTGTTGAAACCACGCGCATCGCGCTTTTGGCTCGCTGTACGACGATGCCGGCGTTGTGTCGAAGTCCGCCGACGGCCTGGCGAGGATGATGACCATTATCGTGGAGGTGTTCCGGGAGTTCGGGCTGACGGTATCGGAGAGGAAGACGGAGCCATTGGTGATGCGGGTGAAGGAGAAACAGCGACCGCCGCCGACGCCACCGCCGCCGCTGACCATCGAAGCAGCGGGGCAAAGGTACGCACAGACGACCGAGTTCCGATACCTGGGCGGCCTCATCAACGAGCAGGGCGACCTCACCCGAGAGATCAACCACAGGAGCAAAGTAGCGTGGGCGTGCATTAGGCGATACGCCACGGAGCTCTTCGACCGACCGGGAGCACCGTTTCGCCTCAAGGCCCGCCTACTCCAGGCGGAGGCAGTGGCGGCACTGCTATACGGCTGCATGACATGGTCCCCACGCCGCGACCACTACCGGCTGCTGCAGACGACACACCACCGTCTGCTTCTGCGAGTTATCGGCTACCGGCGCAAACGAGGCACCTACCGGCAGCTGTCATACGCCCAGGCGCTGAAGAGGGTCGGCTGCCAGAGCGTGGAGGCCACTGTCCGTCAACGGCGCCTGCTCTTTGCGGGGGCCGTGGCAAGACAGCC